TGAAGGTCTGTCCGACATATCGGAAGCCGGTCTTGTAATCAAAAGAATTATTATCCGACATGTCGATCGTCTTCCCCGGGCGAGTCGCAGAGCAAAATCCAGAAAGAAGGAGGAGGAGAAAAATGGAAAAAATGGCGATTGGGGTGAATCGAGAAGAAGCCATGGGGGAGAGATTTTGTGAGCTGTAATTGTAAATGTAAAGGGTGGGTGTTGAAATATTTTGCATGGGAAATATTTTATATAGGGGTAAAGCTAAAGCCTAAGCCGAAGGGGAATATTTTTTATTTTTTTATTTTTTAAAGTCAACGGTCCCAAAAATGGGTTTAATTTGGCAGTGGAAGAATACAAATTGCAATTCAAATTTGGGAAGAGATTTTTCCCGGAAAGTACGTGAAATTTCCTTGGGGTCACAATTTCTTGTGGTCGTAGAATTGAACAATTCCTTTTGTAATTTTTCAAATGTTTTGGTTACAAAACAAAAGAGATAAATATGTTATTAGTAGAAGAGAAGGAGTTGTGGGCTTTGGGTAATTATAATTACAAGTTTGTATTTTTTATTAAGAAGGGAATTTAAGCGAGACGTAGGGTTGATGTAATTAGGAATTAAGGTTGAAATTGAAATGTAAATTGAGGATCTTTTGCGTGGGAAGGTGAAATAAGAAAAGAAAAAACAAAAACAAAAACCAGTAGAATGCCACCCAACGCTAAACTTTTTAATTAAATTAATATGGCCTTTGACAATGCCTATTCATTTTATTTTTAACTTTAAGCCATCCATTTCTCTCACCTTTTTTTTTTTTTTTTTAGATTTTATTTTCAAGTCAATGTTCAAATTCTTTAAATTCTTATTCTTTGGTCACATCTTTGACCCTAGGAAAAACAATGCAAAAGACCCTCTTAGATTATTCATCCAAAACTTCCCACAATTCAATTACCCATATATCCTTCTACCCCAAAAATGAAGTTTCAAGTTTATTTCCAGAGTTGTGTTGTGTAATGTAAATCATGTATAAACTTTTTTTTTTCTTTGTATTTTCAGGTGAGGTAATTATTATCATTGATACTATAACCTAAACCGTAATGAATTCTTCTTTCTTGCTCATAGTTTTTTCACAAGAAATTCTCTCTCCTAAATCTATGTGCCGTTTCCATTTTCTTTCTTTACTTCATTGTTTCATTTTTTGTAGTCACTTGTACTTTTAAAGAATGGTGATCATGTAATTGATTTCTTTTATCTTGATGGGTTCTTAATTTTACTTCCTCGACTTCTCTTTGTGGAATCTTTTTATTTTAGACGATATTCGTAGTAGACTTTATTTCAAATTCTCTAATCTATTTTAAATTTTGTTGTAAGCCATTTTCCTCCATCCTCTGGGAGGATTAAAAATGTTAAGATTATGTCAATCCTAATTGAAATCCTCTAATATGTTGGCTAAATTCTCATCAACCTATAAAATTAGAAGAAAGTGAGGAATAATATAAAAAAGGACTAAAAAATTCATGAATAAGTTAAGTTAAATTACAAGTTTGGTCGTTGAATTTTGAGGATGTATTTCAAGTCTATGTCAAATAA